AGGATTTATATCCTTTGGCACACACTGTTCTGGCATACCGAGTCTGTGTTGAAATGTTTTCTTCTAAAATGAATGATCTTTGACCAGAAAGAAAGACTGTTTCTGTGATAATAACTCTACAGTATCGCAAGGATAATGACCTCACAAGACCCACCTTGAGCTCAATATGATAGTGACACGCCTATGGCACGAATAATATATTTGATACATCATCTGCTTACTTTCTGACCGCACAGTCTCTCTGTGTTCTGTTAGGTCTTAAACTTGTCTACTCCGAATGAAATAGGCTCGGAAAAATAATTTTTGATGCGAAGAACCAAAGAGTGAGTGGGAAAGAGGAGACATTCTCCGGAACACGTTCCCTGGTTCAAAAATGCATGTAGTCACATACAGTGAGTACAGACATTGATCAATGCCATCATTAACGACGAACTGATCCGCGACTTAATTTAGAGTTATTAGTAAACAAATCCCGCATAGCAAACGCATTTGTTACATTTTTCGAATATAAATAACTTGCAAGGAATTGAGTAAGACATCATCAACTTATTGACCTCTTAAAACACCCATATCGCCCTTAATGCACCCCTTTTGACCTCCTCGGCACGTCTTACTTCAAAGTGTGCTTTACAAACCATCAGTTTCTCTTGTTTACTCTTAACTTAAACAATAGGGGATGCTTTTGAGACTACTTGCATTATGAAATGATTTAAGTTTTACCCTTCTCTGAGAACATCGGCTTCATTTGAAACTTCCATGCCTAAGAAACCATTGTGCTCACATACGTTCGCTCGACGATGAGATAAAAGGTGCGAGATAAGGCAAAAAAAAAAACTTAATCAATGATCGAAATTTTGGATATATCAACAAAGTTGAAATGGTAAATTGGCCACCGTAATGATTACAAAAGCTGACGTTTCGAGCGTTAGCCCTTCGTCGGATCGAAATTTTGGTTTGCAAGTACCTTAGAAAACAAAATGTGTGAGAGCGTAAATAAGTGTCAGGCAAAAATTTTCTTTGCCGACGGTCATTCCATTGTGCATACAAACTATATTTTTAACCGTATAAATGACAATGTTTTGGCACAATTGTCAAGTGGCAGTGAAAAAATAAACAATTATATTGGCTCCTAAAATAGCTATTCACAGTTTATACTTAAGGTCAGATGTGTTTGTTCTTGAGACCATCGATCGAGGTTTAACATGACTGTTTTAGAAAAGGCCCATCACCGTGGTCGAGGTTAAAATAAGTCTAGGCTCGTTTTCTATACCCTCCTTCTCTTTCAATTCTTTAAAACCCTCTCTGTAATTTTTTCCTTAGCATTTCGGTCTTTTCCTAACTTAAAACTGAAAGTAGTCTTTTTAGAGCGGTGACGGAAAGAGAATTTGAGACTTTGAGGCCTACGATGACAGTCTCTTTTGAAATTATACTAAATTCAAACTTCCATTTTTTCAATTGTTATCAGGTTCAGACGTTTGATATTCTTACGGTAATAAAGAAGCAAGCAAGCAGTAACATTCTAACCTATGAAGTACGTGACACTCGAAAAACTTTCCCAAGTTTTCAACAGTTTCAAATATACGGATTTATGACAACTTCACAAAGGAGATGCAGGATTAATGAAAGCCATATTCAGTCTTCTAAAATGCAAAACAAGGAACGGCCACTTACATTTTCAAGGGCTCAGTCTGTCCCGGATCACTTGTGATGCGGATGCTTTCGTTTCGGGCGAGTGGAACGGAAATCTACCTGCCTGCCTCCCTCGAATGCTTATTTATAGCAGTAAGGGCATGCACCGAAAGGAAATATATGTCAATTAGGTACCGGTTCCGAACGCGTTTGTATGAGTTAAATTAGCTTGAACACGCGTTTGTTTTCAAAGCTAACATTTATCTAAAACATGCTTTTCGGATCAATTCTCTGACCCTCCTTGGAGGGTTACGGCATCAAAATTAATCGCCAACTCAAATACCAAGACTTAGCCCAGAGTGCGTGTTGCTGTCATCGTATGGACACCTCTTGGAATAACATACCACTGAGCAATTTAAATCAACCTAGTCAGGATCTGCTTCTTTCAGAAGCCACTGACAGAAAAACTCCGTTTTGGCATGCAGTAATTGAAGAGGATAATTGTAGGCAATTTGCGTGCATTGTCAGTAAGTAATTCTCGATGAAATAAGTCCATCACTGATGAGGTCTCAGAGGTCACATCTATAAGAGGTTGGTTTCCTTTGATAAGAATCAACTCATTATGGTGTGGCCTCTCGGTAAGGGAATCTCAAGTTCGTTCCAGGCTGCTTTATTAATGATATTTTTTCCTTATCTGGTTTTACAAATTTGTAATATCATCATTGACTCACTTGTCATTTTTTCAGCTGTTAGTTAGTTTTTTTTTTTTGTTCTTTTAAACCAAGCCGTTAATAACAGCAATCCACGTGACGAAACACAGCCGATAAGATACAGTGATCTCTTAATCAGTTAATCTTCGTTTGACGTTGGAATTAGAGTACCGCCTTTTAAAAAAAGTGATTTCATTTACTCACGTATGGCTATGTAAAAACTTGTAGGGAGAGTTTTCTAGATATTTCAAATGGGTGGAAAGGTGTCCTTTAATTTTCGCCCTTTCTTGGGCGACTAGTTTCTGGAAGAATGAAAGGAGGGTAACCAAACTTACGCGTACATGTATCAAATGAAAAGATCATACGAGCTAGACAATCGAATATTTCATTTCATCTCCTTAAATTCAAGAAGAATAAAAATTGTTTCCGATGTATTTCGTTTAAAAGTTACGTAAGTTTTCAAAGTCACTCGAAAAGGGAAAAGAACCAATAACTGAGTTACTTGAGGCCTTTTTCTGTTGGCTAAATGGTCATTCGCCATACCTAAAAACTACTGAGTTTATAGAAATCAGGTGTAATACGTTTGAGCTGAAACATAAATTCTCAAAATCATCTGGTCACGCCTATATTTACTTATTTGCTATATCTTGACAAGCTGGTCCAATTCAGCTTTATAGCTAGTTTAAATGTGGGCCTGAATAAACAATAACAAGGCAAGACCACAATACCTAGAGCTACGTTCCCTACTCTTTACGAGAAGTGCACTGGTTCTTTGACATTGAACGTCCCTCGCTAACCAGTACAGAGAAAATACAGGAAATGGGTGGTACGGCATCTCTCATTACTTTTTAGCAATTTCGTTTTTTATTCAAAAAGGCTGCAATGAAGCTTATGTTTACCACAAAGGTATCCGTTAACAGCAATTGCATATTGCCATGTATAGTCATTTTAGCTGTAATTCACACCATTACATTCAATTTAACAACACTTCCACATTTTGATTCGCTTTCTTAGTAAAATGAATCGTGCGAAGGAATGATATCATTAAAAGGGGATGGAGCCATACTCGAGGTGCTTTATTAAAATGGTCAGGTCAACTTATGGCTGGAAAGCGATGTCAGTTCTACGGGCTTAAGTGAATGCATATTTTCCGTACATAATGGCGCAGCTTTAGTCATCTGTTTCTCAGGGATAGAGTGTTTAATAGGCTAATTACGTCAAACCAGTGAAGGATATAAGCATGGAAGATGCTCGCGCCTCAATCATGTTAGTCTCCTTATGTGGTTAACGGGATCATTGTAAATGCCCAGTCTTGCAACAGACCTTTGAAGGACATGCCCGTCTGAAGAGATCTTTCAGCGCTGTTTGTCTTCAAATTGTTGCATTATCATCGTGTTCATTGCAGGAATTGATCACTCAGAGTAATAACACTTTGGAGTGGTTCATAATCCCATTCACGCAATTCCTACCAGTATTAGAATTTTTATCCCCTGTCACACTTCAATGTTTTGATAGAACGAATTAGACAAGGAAAGGCTTGTGTATCATAGAGTAAAAGCTTCCAGTAATTAGAAATGGCGTTGATGAATTAACTACATCTTATTAGTCAAACGGTTCCAATTTATACTTATAGTGCAGTCATAAATTTTATGACTTTGGATCTGAGAAAATATCTGCAAAAACTCCATTACGTCTTTATGGAGTTACAAGTCTGATCATGAATGATTCTCAGATAATGAAACTTTTAACGTCTAACTTCGATAAAATCTACGAATCAGATTATATTTATTTTGGAACAATCGGAACAGTTGAAAAAATGATTCTTTAATTGTTGATTTGATAAAATTACTTCAATTTGCGGTAACTTTTCAAAACCGCCATTTTACAATGACCACTTGTAATTCTTAAGTGCTCGTGCAGACAACGTTACCACCGTACTTTTGGACAAAAATTGGAAAAGAATTGAGAGGCATATATCATAAATTTACCTTAACAACGTTTGAAAATGTGATGATGCAGTTGAAACTTGACGAACTCCGGTTAAAGTCCACAAGCTCCTCAAGACTTTAAATGTTGTGTCGACGGTAAAAAAAGTAGGAAAGTCTAACTCAAGAACCTTTGCGGACACTTCATTCAAACCAAAGGATAAACAATTATGTTTCATATGTAAAAACCTACCTTGGCAAAGGAGTTCGTCCTGAAAGGCTTTCCAACGGAAAGCTTGGAAAAAATTTATAAAAGCCCTGAGTCATTGCGAGCTTCCGTCGTTTATTATTTTTCAAGTCCGCTAGTAATACTATTAACCTTATTGACCGGTCAGGAAATATGGAGGGGTTTATTACACGGAATACGTAAATCAAGGATGTACCGTACCATCTGTGAAGTTATGCCTGTCGGTCAAAACTCTCTTGGGTAGGCTCATGAAAATGTAACTGTCAAAAAAAAAAAAACAAACAAACAAACAAATTTCTCTGTCAAAGTCCGTTTGAGTTGTAGCTGGAAGATAAAAGTGCAATTTAAAACGATGGCTTAAGCATGTCTTTAGCCTTCCACAGAAGCCTTCCTCTTACAGTGCCGAAAGACACGAAAATGTTTTTGCATGATTTTCCCTGTTACAATCAATCAGCGCTCTTAAATTATTATTTGACTATCACTAGATAAATTGATGTTTCTCTTTGGTCCTCAGAACTTTAAAAGCCGTGAAAAAAAAATTACAAATGAGTTAAAACAGCAAATAAATGAATCAAGAAATAAAATACTAAATAAATGAATTTATATTCTTTAAAGGAGGATTAAAAGGATGAATTAATATATGTGTAATTATGTGGATAAACAAGAAATAAATAAGATTATAAAAACGGAAACCATACAAAAAGAGAAAACAAACAAGGCGAAGCAGAAAATAACACAAGACCGGATGAAAGAGAAAAAAAGGGAGAATAGAAAGAAAATCGATAACGAGATTTTTGTTCAAGTTGCAAACGAATTATTAACCCGCAAAAGAGCATGACCGATCAAACATTTGACACGGCACTTGCGGGAACTAGAGCTGGCAGCGAACTAGAAACTTCCCTTTCTTTTGTTAAAAATCACATCAATATGAAATGACCCTAAACTTGACTGTGTGGCTGCAGCAGTCAAGTGAGACTATGCCTTCGGCGATTTCCACTCAAACACGATTTTTCCTTTCCCACGGTCCATGGAACCGGCTTATTTTAAAACGAGTCTCATTGGTTGCATCAAGGCGATCGATTGTATTTTGGAAGCGATATGTTCGGTTAACTAATCCTCCCAAATCTCATTCGAGAAAATCCTGAAACGTCATAGATCACTGGGGTTGTTCCTAACATTAGCACCGGAAAGACAAGGCTAAAACATGAACAAATAAGGAAATAATTCGCACAGGTGAACTCGAACTGACGAAATCGCTTGTAATTGCAGCGGAAGCCTCTTTGTTAAATGCGTGATGTTTACTTCACACTGATGCGACCAAGAGTAAATTCCACTCGTTATCAGCCAAACATTCCGACTGAATTGCTGTTCGGTTATGGAGCATTTATTTATTTAAGCGCTTAAAATTTGAAAGAAGATAATCGCTTTAAAAGGAAAAATGTGTGAGGCACTTGTCCAAAGGCATGGGGAATTATAAAACTCTATTTGCAACAGTTTGAGCCGTGGCGGTTTGAAATTGCATGCCTCTCCTACCCAAGAGAAATTTGTTCTTTCAAGAAATTAAGCAAACGGGCGAAGGTCAAGAGAAATAAAAACATTTCCAATTACTCCATGATCTTTTTACAAAGTATCACATTATACCTCTCAACTGTGAAACAAATATGACGACTTCTAACTTGAATTGCAGTGACCTGAAATGGCCCCGAGAACACTATAGCAAATTATCTACGTGACTACTTCAATTCAGCGGTCCATAACAAGTTTTCTAAAAATAAATTTAGATTATTTTCAATCCTCTTTGAGCAGTTAGGCCAGCTAACTGTACGAGAATCTTCTAGCTCCGGAACCGTGAGTGGTTTTATCTTGCGGATGCCCAGCTAATTAGCCATAATATAAAAAAACAAGCCAGCCGGCATTAAATAAAAGTAGCTTGAAAGTTTTTCAGTCCCGACATCGTCCTCATGCGTCATTTTTGTCATGATTAGTATTTCTAACATTGATATTATGATTATCACCATATTTTTATGCTTTCGTATCTTTATCTGCTGCCTGAGATTTCTGGGAACATTCGATAACTAAGTAACACTCCCAAGAAATGATGTGATAACTGAGAAACGTGATCCATGCTCCGGTTGCATTTGTTTGGCGTCTGATCTGGGATGAAAAAAAGTGCCACTAGCAGTCAACTTGATAGCTCTGTGGATGACTTCGCTCTATTATGTTTGTCCCCTTCTTGTGTAGCTTCAGGTCCTTCCTTTTTCGACACGGTTACAATATGAAATGCCTGTTGACTGGGTTATGTCTGGTTGGACGGAAAAATATTTGGCTCTCGGTCATGACGCACGGACTTG